AGGCAGGTCTCAGAGATGGTTCAGGTGGTCTTGGAGGAATGGGACCAGGGGGTGAGGCTGATCTCAGAGATGGTTCAGGGGGGCTTAGGGGAATGGGGTCAGGGGATGAGGCTGGTCTCAGAAATGGCTCAGGGGGTCTTGGAGGAATAGGACCAAGGGGTGAGGCTGGTCTCAGAGATGGTTCAGGGGGTCTTGGAGGAATGGGACCAGGGGGTGAGGCAGGTCTCAGAGATGGTTCAGGTGGTCTCAGAGGAATAGGGCCACAGGGTGAGCCTGGTCTCAGATCTGGTTCTGAGGGTCTCAGAGGAATACAGTCAAGGGGTAAGGCCAGTTTCAGAGATGGCTCAAGGAGTCTTGGAGAATTGGCATCAGGGGGTGAGGCAGGTTATAAAAATGGTATTGGGGGCTCTGAGGAAGTGGGCTCAGTAGGTAAGATAGGTTATAGGAAAGATTTGGAGGTTTCTGAGCAAATGGGCTCAGGGAGAAAGGAAGATTATAGGGATGATTTAGGAGGTTCTGGAAAAATGGGATCAGCGGATGAGGCCAGTTACAGGAATGTGGTAGGGGGTTCTGGCAGGGTTCTGGAAGGAAGTGAAGGAGATCATAAGGCTGGTTTAGGGGATCCTGGGGGTACTTTGTCATGGAGTGAAGTAAATTATGGGGGACACTTGGGGGATACTAAGGGAATGGGGCCAGGGGATAAAGGAGGTTTTAACAGAGGCTCAGTAAAGTCTGGAGTAATGGGACTGGGGGGTGATAAGGGCTCTAGACATGGTTCAGGGATGTTTGGAGTAGCAGGCTCCCTGAGTGGAGTGGAATGTGAGGGTGGACCCAGAGGCCAAGATGCAATGGGACATGGGTCAGGTGGTTGGGTTGAGTCAGAGGCATCTCTTGGTAGTACAAACTTCATGGATGGCCCAGAGAGGGGCAGAGGAACAGGGCTTGTGAATGGGGCAGGTCCTGAGGTGGACTCTGGGATGGCAGGAACACTGGGGACTGCAGATGGAATAGCACACAGGGACAGCTCCAGGGGCCCAGAACTGCTGGGAACTCAGGGAGGACTAGAGACTCTTTCAGATGGACAGGACTCCAGGAATGGCCTTGGGAGCTGTGGAACCTCAGGAATACCTGAGGCCTTAGGGGCTGTTGGTTCCAAAGGGAAATTTTCAGTCAGTGAGTGGCAAGAGGCTTCTGGAATCCCAGGATCTCCTAGGGACAGAGAGACTCTTGGTGGAAAGGGCAGGTCTACAGACCGAGCAGGGGACATGGGGTCTTCTGGGTTTTGGGATGGGGATCAGGGGTCAGTGAAGGGTGAGGACTGGGCAGGGTCAGCTGCTCTGGATTCTGGACATGAAAGGGATTCAAGCCCAGGTAGAACAGACAGGGGTAAGGCTTCTGGTGGGGGGAGATGGGCACCTCAGGGAGGTGGGGACTTGGTGCGAGGGGGCCAGGCTCTGGACAGCAGCTCTGTGCCTGGGGACAGGGGTAAATCAGCTTCAGGGGCTGCTGACAGGCAAGGGATGAGCAGTGCTTGGGCCCCAGGCTGGGAAGAACAGGAACTAGGCCAAGGAAATAAAGGTGCTGGGAACCGACTCCCAGGCTTCCAGGCTCCTGGTTCTCTGAAGGGGAGAGATGTCAAGTCCAATGAGATTCATGGAGGTCCAGGAAGCTCTAGGAACAGGGAAGGTGCACCAGACCAAGAAGAAACTGGTTGGGGTCAAGGTCCGTGGTCCCTGGATAGCAAAAGTTCAGGTCCTGGAAAGGGCACCTCTAGTGACCCAGAGAACTCAGGTGTTCTGTGCAAAGGAAGTTCCACTGAGTGGGGGAATGCCCTCACCTCCAAACCTAGGGAGTCAACATCTTGGGACCCCTGGAATGGTGCAGATGGGCCTTGTGACAGAAAAGGCTCTGGAGGCAGACCAGGGACCATCCAAGGCCTGGACTCTCAGCTAGGCAAAGGGCAGAGAGGCAGAAACAAGGTCCTCAGAGAGCAGGGGTACTTGGAGGGTGAGAATGACAAGGCCCAAGGTCCCGGGGTCCTGAAGGAGTATGAGAGGCAGGAAGCAGAAGCTGGTGGGCCATCCCGGAGCAGGTCTCACAGGCAGTCAGTGACTGAGGTGGGCGTAGCTAAGTGTAAGGGACTCAATGAGGCCCGAGGCATAGGGCAACCATATGACAGCGGGAGCAGAGGGCACGGTGGGGAAACTCAAAGGGAAGACAAGAACCAGGAGGCCCCAAGTTATCTTAGCAGCAGGAGAGGTGGCACAATGGGAAGGGTGGGCATCTACAGCAAGGAGCAGGATGCCCCCCAAAGGTCCAGATATGGATACAAGCCTGGCCATGGAAGTTTCTCCAAGGAGAGCAGAGGTAGGTGTTTCTCAGCTGGGCTGTTCTCCAAGGGGGGATGTCCTGAATGCTGGGGTACCTGGATTGGTCCTAATTCTGCCTCTAACCCCAGGAATTTGTCCCTGCCAGTGACCCCTCATTTTTGGTTACCTCTTTAAAATTTAGGAAGCAACCTCTTCCTCCTTGTGCAGATGGTATCTAGGCTCATATGGCTCAGAAGTCTTCCTAGAATCTGTCTGGAAGCCCTAATTCCAAAACACCTGACCCTCTGTTTCTGACCACAAAGCTGACATTTGTGTGACTTGGAAAGTCCAAAAGTCCCTACTGCTCCATCAACTGTATATCCCAGATCTGTACCAACCTAGGCTTTTTTGAGAAAAATGAGAGCGTTAGCCTTTTGGGCACTGGCTCCCAGTAGCTCCCAGAATAGTGCAGGCCCTGGCCTGGGAGACTGGGAATCCCTGTGTGAGCAAGCCCCAATCCCTCTGTGTCTATGCACATCCCACAGGTTACTTCTCCCAGGGCCTGGCTGACACTGAAGCCCAGCAAGGGGAGGCTACCATGCTCTTCTGCACCCTTACCAATGACCTGGGACCTGGAGCCTGGTTTAAGGATGGCGTCCAGGTACTGCCCTCTAACACCTTCTCTCTACCAACAGTTGACAGAGTAGGGCAAGGGGCAGATAGAGAAAAAGAGAAGCTTTGTGAGAGAGATTTTTCAGTCTTCATTTTACTAATGTGCCCACCTTGGGAGAAATTTCAATAGCCAACACATCTGATGTATTTCAAAGAGAGCTAAATTTTTTAAAGAATGTGTATTCACCTCAATACACAGCTTACTCTCCTTCCGCCATCCAAAATGACTTTCCTGTACCTCCACCTATTAAATTCTGCCCCTTTGGTTCAAGCTAACTAGTCTCTCCTCAGAAACCCTATACAGGGTAACTGTGGGTTGGAACTGACTCAATGGCACTTAACAACAACATATACATATGTTGCTGTTGTTCAGAGCTGTGGAGTCAGTTCTGACACACAGTGACCCTGTGTAAGGTTTCTGAGACTTTAACTTTTCATGGGAGCAGAAAGCTTCATCTCGAAATATATATATATACACACACATATGCATATACGAGGGTGAGTCAAAATTTTTCTGTACTCTGGCTTTAGAATTTATTTTTATCAACTTTTAGAAAACACAAACACATCATTTTTTGACATAATCTCCTTGGTTTTCAATGCGTTTTGTCCACCTATCAACAAGATTTCATATTCCCTTATTAAAAAATATTTTAGGCTGAGCTGCGAGCCATGAATGCACCTCTGTCTTCACTTCTTCACCAGAGGTGAATCTTCATCCTCAAAGGGCTGCTTTCAGGGGACCAAACATGTGAAAGACCTGGAGCAAGATCAGGACTATAGGGAGGAGGCTTTAACACCTCAAACTAAGTTTTTGCAGTGTCAACAGTGTGGGAAGAGGTGTGAGGACATGCATTGTCCTGCATTTACAAGCCCTTGAATAGCAGTCCTCTGCATTTTATCCCAAGTTTAGGCTTTAGTTCTTCAGAGAACATCTCACTGTAACCGGCATGGGCACGGGCACTGTTGTTTGTTGAACTTTTTTCCTGGTGGTGTTCCAGCAGTTGCCTTTCAGAATCTCAGAAAACTGTAAAAATCACTTTTTCCAGCTGATGGTTGACTTTTGAACTTCTTCTTGGTTGGTGATTGAGGATGTTTCCATTCCATACCCTGCCATTTACTCTCGGGCTTGCGGTTGCTAGTCTACAACCAGTGTCTAACATGACTCCATGTCTCATCACCAGTAACAATTTTTTAAAAGAAACTTTTACTTTCCTTTGAATATTAGTCCAAATTTTGTTTGTAGATGTCTACGTTCACACCTGCACAGTAGCGACCTAGAACAGAAATCAC